ATTTCCCAGCCAGCCATGCTGGCTGGGGAATTCTGGGAATTGAAGTCCACACATCTTCAAGTTGCTGAGGTTGAGAAACCTTGCTTGCATCATTCTGACTCTCCCTTGGTACCTCCACCCCTGCTGTCAGTCAGACAGACCACCTCTGGGAAATATTTTTCAAAAACTGTCATTTAAAATCTTGAGGGACAACTGATGACAAAATATGAATCAAAGGTGCAAAAAGCACAAGGCTAACAATGTCCCTCACCAAAAATTAAAGTCTGGAATTTGCAGGAAAAAGCAAAACCCTCATAAAAGGAAGCAGTGGGACTTTGCTTCAAGGAAAAAAAAAATTATATAGAAATAGGCACACATTTCTGCTAGAATTTGCATTAGACCGTGCTCATAATTTCTGCATTTTAATGTTTACATCAAAATTTTTCTGCAAAAAACTACGGATCTGTAGTATTCTGAGAGATAACTCTGTTTGCAGGAGATTACCACCATCTTGTGGTTTGCTTAGAATATTACAGTACATTTTCTTTTTCCTTTTGTTTTTAACCAAGTGATATTTATCTCCTCCAACATGGAGTATTTTGGATATTGAATGTTAAAGTGGGTGGGGAGTAGGGTGTTACTGTTTTCATTTTCTAATAAAGTTTGATTTTGTTACTCTCCCATAGATGGAGGGAAAGGCCATATACTTTCATACTAGATTGCCAGGCGGTTACACTACTGAAATTATTTTGTTGTTGTTGTTATAGTATTTTTTAATCTTTCAACTGTCAGAAAAAACGTACAAATTTTGAGACCCTCTTTTCTTGCATGCAAGATCAAGAATTTCAGGTGAGGCATCCCTTTGAAGTTAGGTGATGGCTGCTTCTCCAAAGCAAAAAGTGGGGTGTCATGAACTAGTGTGTTTCTGGAAGAGGAGGTTGGAAGCCCCCAGTCTTCTGGTCTATGGATTAGCTATTCCCCTGTAGTAGACTATATTAGACATGGATAATCATTGGTCAAACACAACTAATAAGTATGTTTTCAAATAGAGAAGGAAGAGATTATTAGAAAGGAAGGTTAATTTAAAATCCCCCAAGCCTCATCTTTCAAAGATACCTCAGCTGAGCCATACCATTTATATATTGATTGATCATATTTATATAGCTACCCATCTCACAAAAAAGTGCCTCTGGGTGGCGTACAACACTCAGTTAAAAAACCCATAAATATGTATAAACAATCATTAAAACTATAAAAACTATAAAAACACACACAACAGGAGAGAATGATGTTAACTGTAGTAAGGGAGCCATCACAAAATCTCCCCAGTCCCCTGGGATCCCCAGGCCTGATCATATAGCTAGGACTTGAGGGATTTGTGGAATGTTAAGAGGGTTGGGGCCAATCTCACTTTCAAGGGAAGAAGATTCCACAAGGCAGGGGCCATGGCAGAGAAGGCCCACCTCCTGGGACCCGCCAAATGGAATTCCCTGGCAGGCGGGACCCACAGCATGCCTTCTCTGCCAGACCTCATGGGACAGGCAGATGTAATCGGGGAAAGGTGGTCCCTCAAATAACTTGGCCCCATGCCATGGAGGACTTTAAAGGTCAAAACCAGCATCTTGAATTGGACCCAGAAGCAAACTGGCAACCAATGCAGCTCACGGAACAGAGGTGTAATGTGCCCTTCTAGTGGCACACATAACTGCCCGCGCCACTGTATTTTGCACCAACTGAAGCTTCCAGATACTCTTCAAGGGCAGTCCCATGCAAAGCACATTACAGAAGTCCAAATGAGAGGTGAGCAGGGCATGAGTGAGAGTGAGCAGAGCCACCTGATCCAGGAACTGGCACAACTGGCACACAACCCAAAGCTGTGCAAAAGTCCTACTAGCCATGACTGCCACCTGCTCTTTGAGCAGGAACTGTGAGTCCAGGAGGAACCCCAGATTGCGTTCTGGGTCTGTCTGGGGCAGTGCCACCCATCTAGCATCAAAGATGGCATAATCCTAGAACCGGAAGGCCCTAAAGCCACAGCCACTCATTCTTGCCAGGGTTCAGCTGAAGCCTGTTGTATCCCATCCAGACCCTCACAGCCTCCAGGCACCAGGATAAGACATTCCCAGCGTCGCTTAATTCATCAGGGGCAGAGATGTATAATTGGGTATCATTAGTGTACTGATGATACCTCACCTCATGGCAACTGAACCCTGCAGGACCCCACATAGTAGAGGCTGAGGGCAGGATCTCTCCTT